CTAATGATTTGAAGGGGGTCTACTTGTCTGCTTACAACTCCCAACCACCGACAGACCAGATTAGTCCAAGCTTTATTTGAGTAAAGAGAAGCACATCGATGTAATGATGGTCATTTAGTGCTACGGAAAAGTAAGATATATATAGAGAGAGACAAATCAAAGAGAAAAAGGTTTAGGGCTTACTATGGTCGCCCTCCAACCACCCGCAGTGACCGGGTGGGCAATGACATTTTTTTTCACGGAGGGGACGGGGGGTACGAAATTTAAAAAAAAAGTGGTGGGGTGGGTGGTATTCCTTTGACTATGAAAGCATAATTATGGTCCTTTTTTGTAGAAAGGGTTTTACGGCACCTGCAACACATTAAAGGCATATCAGAATAAAAGTTTTACAAGCGAAAAACAAGCACAAAGAAAAGAATAAGAAGAGACAGGATGTTTTACAGGAAAGAAGGAGAAAACCACACCAGAGCACCCGTCAAACACCCACAAATCATGGACATTCATGGAGTTATCCCCTAGACACAGACAACATTCCACTCACGTGAATCTTCAAATTTAAGGGTGGTGCAGTCATCGAAGTCCACATCATCACTAGCTGGTATACACTCTAACCACAGACCAGCAAACGATCCACTACTAGGCCCATACCATGTAGGCACGGCGAACGCCAGGACAAACACCAGGAAAATAAAGTACATAAACACCAGGGCCACTTTGTACAAGGTCGACCGGTAGCTCCACTTCATTTTGAGGCAGGCGACTGGAGTTGGATTCTCAGGTAAAAAGGTTGAGCGATAAGAAAAGTGTGACTGTTAGCTCGTCACTCAGACTTGTGCAGTGCAGTTCCTCTCAAGACGTGAGCAGTTCCAAACAAGGGGATGTGTGGCCGATCTGTTGAGAGGAAACTAGGACACGTTGGTGCAGCACACAATCAGCTTTGAACACGCTGACTCAGAAAGGACGGTCTCGTTCCTGATTGGAGAAGGGAAAAAAATAATATTCAGAAAATTTAGTACATGTTAAACGTGTAAAAGTATTATGGCTGGCGTTTTTATTTCCCTCAAAAGACAAACCTTAACACGGTATCTACTAACAGGAAATGTCCTAATGTTTATACACTGAAAATCTTAAAGTACATTTTAGCACAATTCATCAAATTTGGGGACCCTAACAAAATGCTAAATGCCAATAAGACACATCTCGTCTCTGCTACTTGACAGTACTTGGCACTGTATCGTAATGACTAAAGAGAACTTGTTTATTTATTTGAGTGTATAAAAGCACATAGACACAATAGCTGTCATTTTGAACACAGAAATAGTAAGATGAACAGTAACCCCCCCCCCCAAACAAAGCAAAACAACAACGGGAAAGCAAAGAAGTAGAACCTACCAGCCGCACTCTCTAACCACATGCAGACGGTATGAAGAACATGAGTTTCTAGTTTCAGCTTTAGTAAGAGTTTTACGGAGCTTCCAACACAAATACGTCATATACTCGTAAGTGTCGAAGATTTAAGGTGTGACTAGAGAGAAACATACAACGAAGAGGAGAAGCGACACGGACGATAAATGTTCATTAGGAAAGAAGGAGCAAACCAGACCAGACCACCCGCCAACCGCCCACATGTAATAGTATGACTAACTAACGATACGACTCAAACTGAGCATATATCCATCAACACTAAACAAAATGGAAGAACTTTTTTGTATGCCTAAGTCAATCAGACTTTCCGCTCCGACCCGATTATGTAGATTCGACTTATTGAACAAGTGTCAACGCATCTTAGACGAACGTCCTTGTCGGGGAAAAGCTCTAGACAGGTTGTAAAATAAGCACGTCCCTATCGGCACAGGTTAGTTTTTAAAAAAAAGTTTTAGTAGAGGTTTTACGGCTCTCGCAACTGCATAAGGTCATATGAGCGCCAGAAGATTAGAGGTGTTACAAGAGAGTAACAAACATAAGAA